CCTACCTGTAATAGCATTTTTGCTAATCCTCCTCTCCAGTAAGATGGGGGTTGGAAAAGAGTGGAAGACCTCACCATGGGGAACAGGAACTGCACCTATAAGAGACAGGAGGCAGAGAAACTCAACTCCTCCCCACGTGGCAAGGAGTCTTCATGGATGAATTTGCAACCAAGTCCTGCCATGTGCAGAGATGGTAGGGGGGATGCCATGGGGTTAGTAGGAGGCCCGTGAAAAATAGCATCACGTATTCCCTTGCCCTCTGCCTTGATCCATCCTGGCCATGGAAAGGAAAGCCCGTGCCCTCACTGTTCAGAGTGAGGAAGGGAGGAAAGTGGATAGAGAGATGGAAGGAAGGGAGACACAGAAATGGATGAAGGTGAATAGAGGGAGGGAGGGAGGGAGGGAGGGAAGGAAGGAAGGAAGGAAGGAAGGAAGGAAGGGGAGAGGCAAAGGGAGAAGATGAGAAAAGGAAGGAAGGAAGGAAAGTGGATAGAGAGATGGAAGGAAGGGAGACACAGAAATGGATGAAGGGGAATAGAGGGAGGGAGGGAGGGAGGGAGGGAAGGAAGGAAGGAAGGAAGGAAGGAAGGAAGGAAGGGGAGAGGCAAAGGGAGAAGATGAGAAAAGGAAGGAAGGAAGGAAAGTGGATAGAGGTAGGTAAGTAAGTAAGAAGGGAGGGAGAGAAGGAAGGTGGATAGAAGGAGGAGATAGAGAGAGGGAGGGATAGAGATGGGTAGAAGATAAAGAGATGGAGGGAGGAGTGAAGAAGGAAGGAAGGAGGGAGGAGACAAAGGGAGAAAGAAGATGAGAAAAGGAAGGAAGGAAAGTGGATGGGGTAGGTAAGAAGGGAGGGAAGTGGAGAGAAGGAGGGGATAGAGAGAGGGAGGAGATAGAGATGGAATGAAGGTAGAGAGATAGAGAGTGAATAGATATAGGAAGGGAGAGAGGGAGGGAGGAAGGAAGGGAGAAGGAAAAGGAAAAAGGAAGGAAGGAAGGAAAGTGGATAGAGATAGGTAAGTGGGGAGGGAGGGGAAAAGTAAGGGAGATGGAGAGAAGGAGGGGATAGAAAGGGGGAGGGGATAGAGATGGAAGGAAGATAGAGAGATGGAGAGAGGAGATAGAGAGTTAATAGACGTAGGGAGAGAGGGGGGAAGAAGGGAGGGAGGGAGGGAGGAAGGAAGGAAAGAAGGAAGATTGATCACATTTGCACTGGATCTTTCAAAGTGTTTCAAAACATTGACCCCTTCCCAACAATGAGCTCCACATTTCCAGCCCTGTAACGTCGATTTAGATAACCACGACTTCCGTTTCCCCCAGTCCTTGGATCAACCTTTATGCCATCAAATTGGAAGGCAATAACCCCCAACAAAATCCCTAATAACAAGACTAACTTTGCATACTCCGATCCAAACAAATGCTCTCTGCTGGAATGGGGGGGTGGGGGGGTGGGGGAATCACCAAGAAGAACTAAAAGGCAAGGAAGCCCCAGAATGTTGATCGCCCTTGTTCTAAATCGGAAGTAACATGAGATGTCTAACTTGCAACTTAACGGGTTCGGTGGCAATCGAATAAAACCTTCTGCAAAAGACCCTTCCTAATGGGCAGCCTTGGAGTTTCATAGGCCAGTTTAAAGCCTCCCTGAGGCTTGCAGTTCAATTTCCGTTGACCTTTAATTAAAGACAATACACTAAATTGACACCAAGAGATTTAAAACTACAATATAAATTTGGCTCCATAACTAGCATCCGAATATATTTTTTTTTGTTTGCCGCTTCCTCTTGCTTAAATGTAACGATTTAATAAAAGAAAGGTTGTTAATGACATGATAAATCTTGACTCTCCCTCCTTAAAAATGGCTGAGTTTTAAAAAGGCTCCATACAATGTGTTCCACTAAAAGCAGAGGAAAAAACACATTGTGGCATTTACTCGGTATCAGGAGCGTCAAACTCGATTTCATCGAGGGCCGCAACAGGGTTGTGTTTGGCCTTGGGGGTGGGTGGGCATGGCCAGCTTGACATCACTGGTGTCAGGGGGGCACCTGGGATGGCCTGAGTTCTTTGCCAGCGAAAATGAATTCCTGACCTCCATTTCGGCTGCGACGGCCTCCTGCAACCCTCAGCCAGCAAAAATGGAGCTGGGGAAGGCTACATGCGGCCTTCCCGAGCTTCATTTTCACTGGCAGGGGCCCTGCAGGCCAGTCATTCACTGTTTCCAGAGCAGCCCTGCAGGCCAGTCATTCACTGTTTCC